AGAAAAAAAAGAGAAATGCAGAGACATTAGGGATAAAATGCTAACTAATCTCTAATAATAAAGAAGGTATTATTAGAAATCTTGAGACTCAATGGGGTGATTTTAAGGCATAGTGAATTTTGATAAATTCAGACCCTAAGAATTAAAATTTAAGAGCATTTAAACATGGCATGAGTTAAATCTTAAATTGTGTACAAAAAAAGGAGCTAAATAAATTGTACAAATGCAATCTCTAAAGGTTTTTTAAATTATAATCTTTCAAAAGCTCTTACTAAATTGTGTGATCATTTTAGTAATACCCAGCTTTCTATGCTTTGGTATCTATTCACTAAAGTAAGATCTATTTGTTAGATACGTTCTGGGAATAGGTAGAAATATATCTTGAAAATTTACACTCACTGAGCATACACTAAGAGGTGCTGTGTTATGTGAGGTTGGTGCTGTGTAACATTAGGCACTTTGTACTCAAATACATAAATAGATATTAATCTCTTCATACAGATGAGAATTCTAAGGCTTACAGAGCTTTCCCAAGGCCACCAAATCAGAAAGTAGGAGCATATAGGTTCAGCCATAAAGGATGAATGATAAAACCAGATGCTCGAAGCCTCCCACACTGGTACCATACCCGCCTCTAGGCGCATTTCCTTATTAGAGTTTCATCCTGAACACTCCTTCATTTAGCCAAGCTGACTTCAAGTTACTCCATATTCATGAGCTCTTTCTGTCACAATAAGAAGATGAGTTGTTTGCACTCTCACATCTGCCACGCTCTGGCTTCTTGCCTCAGCGGACTCAAAGGCAAGGATGAAGGGAAAGTCTGCACTTGGTTTTATCACATGCACTGACTTAAATTTTGGGAGCCCTGAAATAACATGACTTGGCTAATATTAGCGCTCAGTGTGATTCACAGGTAGTTTTCCCACGAGCTGTTCACTCGGCTCTCATCATCTCACGCATTCTCATCAGCCCAAACAACATACGGGTTCAATGATGCTCACACACAAGCCAAATGCAAGCCAAGCTAGTTTACTGAAGGCCATGGGTTTATTTTATGTTCTAAGCCCATTTTACCTCCCACTCCCTCTACATTTCCTGGTTCCACAGGATACTGTAGAAGCCTCTCCCATGCGGCTAGAAACAGGAAGCACCTGAAAAGCCATAAGAAAAAGGTCTTCGTGCCAAACCAAAGTCAATATTTTAAGAATTAAAAAGCCTGGGGCTGGGGATATGGTGTAGTGGTAGACCACTTGCTAGCATGTGTAAGGGTCCTGGGTTCAATCCTTAGCACTGAAAAGAATTTCAAAGTTTCAGATATTTTGAAAAGGTGTCCACATTCTTACAATTTCTTCAACCCAACCAATATTTAGCCTTCGGAAGACAGAGCACTGTTAGCCACCATGAGGTCCTAATTACAGAACAGCCAGTGGTATTCTGCAGAATTTCAGCTGAGTTTTCCTATGAGCCCCTCACAGTAGCCCACAGAGGGGCAAGTGATGGAGGCAGGGCCCTACCCTACCCCTGCTAGGCCAAGCAATGTGCCCGAGCCACAGAAAGAGGCAGGTGGAAGAACTGGCTTCCACCAAGCTCATAAGCCTCCCGTGGTCTTTGCACCCACACAGAAGTACACCCAGAGCCAGCAGCCCCCACCTTCCCTGCCCTGTGCCCACCATGACCAATAGTGGGTTTCCACCATCTTTGCATTCTGTGGCTTCAGTTTTTCCAGCTGTGAAATGAAATAGCTCTGCCTTCACCATTTCTTTGCACTCACCTTCAGTTTAAGCTCTTGGGGAGAGGTTCCCAGCCAGATACCACAGGTGGAAATTCTCTTCCTATGTGCACTGCCACTTTCAAACACAGCAGTCCCTGTTCACCCTTCTTTATAGCTGGGTCTGTGTCATTTGGGGTTTTTCTATCTAGTGCTTACCAGAGTCTTAATAAAACCGAATAAACTCTTTCTTGAGATACAAGCAGGTCACTCTACAGTGATTAACAAATGCTCGCCATATAGTAGTTAGTGTATAACATAGTATATTAGCATTCATGTGCTTAGAAAACCTATGGAAGACACTTCCTAAAAACTCACAAGTGTTAAGTCAATCCTCTTCACAGCCCCTTGGGGTAGGTTAGGCATGGAGGAGGTTTTGCTGTTAATAAGAAGGGTCTGACTTCTACATTTCAGTCATCCAGTTATCTGCCTCCCACTATGTAGCATGTAAATAAACAAATAAGAAAAAGTCAGGCTTGGTTGGGCAAGAGCCTCTTTGAACCTCACTACAGATAAGAGGCTGGCATAGGCGACATCTGAAAAGTCTTCTCAAACTATAATGCTTCCACTGTTTAATGGGATCCTTACCTGGAACAGAGAGCTGAGTCATTGGAATTTCTGCATGAAGATAAAAAAATGCCTGTCCTAAGAGCCAAAACACTTAGCTTAGATCACAAAACAGGGAAGTAGTGATCTCCAAAGCCACAGAGCAGAGGCAAGAGCCCTCTCACACGCCACCTTCCCCGACCCCTGCCAGTGCAAGAGAAACTTGAGCATCCATGGCCCATCTCTTGTCACAGAACCAAGAACACAGAAACTTTCTGTTTAGCACCTTAGTTTTATAAGGGGCTGCTCTTGTACCCCAGTACTTGCCACACCAGCCTCCACTCCTTGCTGCTCAAAGAACAAGTTAGGTTTTGTTATGTATTTAGAACAGGGTCTACAAGGTCTACAGGGTCTCACTATATAGATCAGACTCATAGTGATTCTCCTGTTTTCAGCCTCCCAAGTGCTGGGATTACAGGCACGCACCACCATGCCCAGTCTCAATCACCCAGCTCAGTGCACCCCGGGGGCGGGGCAGGAACAACAAGGCACACCAGGGATAGAACCCCGGCCGCTGCATCTGCCTAAGCAGGCACTTCAGTCCTCTAAGCTATCTGGCTGGCCCCCAAGTTTAAAAAAAAGTTTCCTATAAATTCTGTAAAAGAACATGTAAAGCCCCTAGACCAACACCCACCTACTCCTAATCCCTAGTTAGACGTATGAGCCATGGAGGATACAGAGACATAGACATTAACACATTACCCCAGATACCTCTTCCAAGGACTGGGTTTCTAGTTTCTGATCCTCATGTGGTATGCAGAGGAGCCCCGTGGCACACCCACTTTTTTTCAAAGCATACAAAACAGTATAAAAAAGCATAAAAAACAATATAAAAATTCATTAAAGTTATAAGAATTCAACAGTGGTTACTGTATTGCATGATGTTGTCTTCAGATTAGTTATTTAGGTTACCAGATATAAACCTGCAAAATTGGTTTTAAAAAATTACAAAACAAAAAAGCTAATTAAACAGAAAAAAATAATAAAAAAATTAAGCATTAACTGCTCCTTTCAATAGACCAGCAGATATTAACAGTACAATTATCCAAATTATCCTGCATATATACATAAATACATCTTCTTCCCTTCTTTCTTTCATCCTTTTTTTCATCCCAGTTTTCCCTTCCCATTGAATAAACTGTTTCCCTTTCAAAGCTCTATTGTACCTTTCAGATTTTATAACCACTTTTTTGAAAGATGAGAGTGGTGGCCCTTCTGCATAATGACCTTGGCTAGCATAGCCCCTGCCTCTGCTGCCCCATTGATTTCTCACTTTGCCCAGCCCCCTGAGCTCCCAACAGAATGACCCAGGGGCTGCCTGCTTCTTCCTGGGAAAGAGGAAGAAGGAGCTGGGGAGTCAAAACAGTCTTGACATGCGGTCTGTGCATCTCTAACTGTCCCTCCCCTCACTGATTACTTAAGTTTTAATATGAATTTTTTTTCTTCTGGCTAGGAAAACATAGAGATAAAATGGTCCAGAGTTCAACTTCCCTGCATGACCCAGTCAAACAAGGACAAAGTTATATTAAAAGGCTTATTGTCACAGGACAGGGCTCATCCTTTGCAAGGAGGTTTATCTTGGGAGCCACCATCTCATGCCACCTGAGTTCCCAGAGCCAGAGAGGGACCTCTATGAAGCAGGAGGGAGGCAGTCCCCAGGCAGCATTTCTTAGAACCCTCTTTGATGACCACAGAATAGGAAACCTGGGAATCCAGGGAAGCCCACAAACAATGTGGACTCAAGCCAAGGAGGCTTTTGTCCAAACAAGTAAATTATGAGGGATTAAAAAAATAAATACTCCAGCACATACAGAAGGAGCAGGGTCCAGCCCTCCAGCACTAAGCCAAGAAAACTAAGAGTAGAAGCTATCAAACTAAGAAAAGGAGCATAGGCTCTGAATCCCACAGTTCAACCACAACTAGGCTAACTAGCAGCTGACCCCACCATCTGCAGTGCCTGTCCTTGCCTGAGAAGACACACTTTCCTTATAAGACCTCAAGCATTCCTCAGTGCAGAACTCAATGGCATCTGTCCAACCTCCAGAACCACATGGGAAGCAAAGTCAGAGCTCATATGTCATAAGATGATGTTATGTGTGGGTGCTAGATTTCTGTCACACTGTTGCTTTACAATTCCTGGGTCTGCTCTTTCCCCTGCCTTGGAACATCTGTCTACAGTGTAGCCAAAAGCTCTGTGGGAGCCGAATGATCAGATGTACTGGGCTGGAGAGATCATCTTCAATCTCTTGGGTGAAGAAACTAAAGCCCAAAAGAGAAAAAGTAAGTTTGCCAGGGCCCTACAGCATCTGGAGGCACCAGACAACCAAGGAATCTATTCAGTTGCTTGGTGGAAGTTTGGTGGATTTTGGTCATTGAGGCCTTGTAAAATTGGTAAACACTATAAGAGCTAAACAGAAATCAGGCCAGGCCAGGCCAGGCTAGATATGCACCCTCTCTGCATCTATTTCTTACCTGCGCATGGCCTTGAGTACCAGCGCCCACCTACAGGCAAGTCATGCTATCTCTTGGTAGCGTGTGGGAAGCTGGCAAAAATGGTCAGATGGAAGGATGGAGATTTTTGGCAAGAGATGACTGGGAAGATGCAGGATAATCAATTCACACTCACCTTCATAGCAAGGGATCAGTGTCCTGCCTTTCGCCTGGAGGTTGGATGGGATGATGTAACAGAAGCCATGAGGCAAGATATGATCTGTTTCATAGTAGACGTTCTTCCAGCGGTGGGCACAGGCCTAAAAGGGACAGAGGAGTGAAAGTAGGAGAGTCAGCCCTGAGAGTCAGTGTGGGTGGCTGTGCAGGGGAAGACAGGAGCAGAGGGGACAGGAAGCTGCCTTACCTGCCTGGCCACCCCTTCACACTAGCACCCCAGGTCAGGTACTTCTGGCCTGGATGAGGGCGGGGCAGTGGAAGTGAGAAGGGAGGCTTTAAGATGCCAGAAACACAAATAACAGGCTGGAGGAAAGGCTGGGTTCAGGGAGAGGAGGGGAGGAAGGGAGGAACTACCCACACAGAACTGCTTTTACCTGCAGAGATGCTTCTGTGTGTATCTCCTTCCCTAGAGGTAAATGCTTTTACTGAAGCAAATTGGCATAAGGCAGAATGCACAAATCTCAAACGTGCTAATTAACAACAGTGACGGATGTCCATGCCCTTATCACAAAAGCCTTCGCAAGACATGGAACATTTCCATCTCCCCAGAGAGTCCTCTGGTCCCGGGAGTGGCTGGATTGACAGGCAAGTCAGAGAAGGGCTAACACAGAGAGGAATGGCGACTGTTGGGAGGTCCAAAGCAGAGGATGGCGGAGCTTTTGGTAGTGTGTGCGAAGAGACAGAAGGCCACAGCAGCAGAGGGGCCCCTTCGATGGCTCTCAAGAGCAGCCTCACAGCACACAGCTTCCAGCCACCAGGACTGGGTCAAATCCACAAGGAGGCACTCTGCAGCAGGGCAGCTCTCACCACAAAATGCGCCGGGCACCAGGGGCCTTGACTCACCCTGCTCATCCTTCCAAGCACAGAACAAGCCCCTACCATGTGCTCCAATGTGACTCCTGCCCTAGTTCCACGTGGGTGTCCCCATGCACTCACAAACCCCAGGACTAATGCAGTGCCCGCTCCTCCAAGGAAGGCATGTGCTCTGCCCAGCCCAGCCTGCCTCTTCTGGGCATGTCCACTCACTTCTAGTATCACTTCACTACATGATGGCTAACGGCATATATATATATATATA